GTCTGTGTAGTACCTAACCAAAAGGTTTTACTTGTTTTTATGGTGGGAAAGCAGTTTCATGGGGCAGACAGATACACACAAGACAGTGTGTTGTGATGCAGGGAAAGAGAATCCTCTGGAAGGTGCAAAGGGAGGTTAGAGCCAGGGAAGAGAGAGGAGACAGGGGAGCACAGGACTTACGACTGGGAACAGGATGAACTTAGGAGCTGAAAATGGTGGATGTCCCAGGACAAGGGACGGTGCAGGATAGCCCAGTGATTTGTTGTCCAGTGTGTACCCAAAGAAACAAAAGCTTCAGTATCAGCCTTTAGACTTCACAATACACTTCAGCTTTGGCCCATGTTGATGGTAGTAGACAGGAAACCAGGCTGAAGAGAGCCAGAAGAGGAAAGAGAGTATGCGGAGGGGTAGGGAAGGAGGGAGGCTGAAATGGCGTGTCAGGGTCTAACAATGCTCTGTCTGTGTCAGGAAAACAGTCTTACTCGGCATGGTTATTTTTAGGGGTTCTTTTTTTTTTTTCCCTCCCCCCTGATTCTTCCACTCCCCTTGCCCCCACCCACTCTTTTGTGCTGAGTGGCGCCTAGCAGATTGGTGGAGATTTTAAAGCTGTGGATAGGAAAGAGCTCAATACAATGAAGGAAACGCAGCAGGGAGGGGAGAAAGGAGTACCTAGAAATAGCCTGCATGACGCCTTTGCTGTGGCCCTGGCTCTTAGGGGAGGAAGAGATATCTAGGCCTAATGACCAAAGCAGGTCCCCAAGTTCTTTGACTACTACTAGGCCCACAGATTCCTCATCTGTGATAATGGAAAGAAGTGTAAAATTGGATTAATTGTCTTGCGTTCATTTATGTCCAAATGTTGGCCGGCCACATCCGCTCCCAAGCTGAAGTGTGAGGCAACTTGGATCAACTAGATGGGAAGATGCCCCTGCTTCCTGCATGAATGTACAGCCTTTGAGACTGACTTCAGATCCTGACCTATTTTTATAGGTTCAGAGGAAGAAATTTAAAGTAAATGTTGTGGGCCTTGACTTCCTGACTGGGGCAGAGTTGCTGTGGAGCAGGCAGGCCCTACATTGTTAGTATCACAGCAGAGATTCGGAAGTCCTCTCTACAGAAAGCTTGCTCCTGCAAGAGCTCTGGCTTGGCTTGGTCTTCTTTTTCTTTTGCAGACTCACGTCCTCTCCTCTCCTCTCCTCTCCTCTCCTCTCCTCTCCTCTCCTCTCGTGGGATGAAAATTACTCCTTCTTTTCCAGCTAGTACAGCTTTGAACTTTGTTTTGCTTTTCCATACTTCTGGCCCAGACTTTTTTTTATTTTCCTACTTTGCATGTTCTCATCTGCAAATGCTTTTTCCAGGAGTGACACTGATTTACTTCTCAAATCTGTGGTTCACCTTAACTATTGCAGGGTCTTTCCCTGCCTCTAAGCCTGCTCAAATCTAGGATGTGTGTGTGTGTGTGTGTTTTTCCCTCTGTGTAGAAGCACATCATCCCCTTCCTTCAGAAAAATCCCTTGGCTCAGCACTGTTTTCAGGCTCTGATACAAAACCCTTTGCTTGCAAAGCCTCCCTTGTTTGCTTTCAGCTTACCTTGCCTGACTTCCTCCTCCTCCTCCTGGTCTGGGGTGCCAGGCCATTCTGGCTGTCCTTTCATTGAACCAAACTGTGATGTGACATATAGCCACCTCACTCACCTCTGCCTGGTCACAGCTTTTCTGGGGCCCTTGGCGCCTTCACTTTTCAAGGTATATTCTGAAGGTCTCCTTCACCTGGCCTGCTCCATCACTTTGTTTCTCCAACTCCTGCTCCCCTTGGCCATGGTGTCTGCTTCTCTGGGTGCGGGAAGTGAGTGGCAAGCATGCAAGTGAGGGTTTATCCCCTCAAATGGAGCTCCCAAGATGGAGTAAAACCAGGTACTTTGAAGCAGTAAATGGAGGCCAGGCTCAGACCAGTTAGCAGGGCCCTGGCTGTGGATGCCCCCTTTGCCAGTGGGTGTGCTGGCGCAGCAGGTTGGAAATCAGTGGTGCCATCAAGCAGCACAACGGTGCACAAGGCATGATCCTTCACAATTTTGTCACTACCTCTTCTCTCCTACTCTGCTTCACACACAGTGACATTCCTGTGGCAATGGCTCTTCCTGGTCCCCTCAGTGGATCCTGCTGTGCTGGGCAGCCTGAGTGCAGGGGCAGATTGGCTGGTGTTGTAGCAGCACCACACAGCCCCCAGGTAGCCAAAATGTGGTGATGATGCTTCCTTCTCACGGTGTTTATTGGTGARGGGTGCGTGCCGTTGCCCCTTCCAACATGACTGCGGAAATGGACTCAGAGGTGCAACCAATAAATGGGGCTGGCAGCTAAAAATGCCTAGTGGCTGCTGAGAAATATCAAAGGCTAAGGGTGACCTGTTGATCCAGCTGGATGGAGAGCTGGGGTGCTGTTAAAATGCCTACAAGCTTGGCCCAAGGGATGCCAGGCTGTGCCATGCCATGCCATGGTGGCAGTATTAGGGCTCGCCTGTGCAGGTGACACAAGAAAGCATCCCTGAAGACACTGTTTTTATTTTATTTTACAAAGTCACCTTCTTCTGAAGATGTCTCGTTTTGCATGCCAAGTCAGTTTGCCACAGGAGAAACTATGCCTAAGACTAAGGATTAGGGAGGCAGCGTGGAGATGAGGGCCAGCCCTTGGTGTCTGCCTGAAGTGGGATGTCAGGCAGAGGGCACTGGGGTAAGGACTGGAGATAATCACTGCTAGTGGGACATTCCAGGTATAGTGACTGAGAAGACCAACACTCTGAGAGACCCATTTTAATAAAGGAAGAAGGTAGGTATCTACAGAGGGGAAATAAGGATTTTGAAATCATATGCCTTCAAGAAGATGGTGATTCACTGTGGTGAGCAGTGAGTCTTTCTGGAGAGGTGTTGGGACGCCTTCAGCTCCCTCCTGAAGGCAGCACATGCTGCTTCTACTATTACCCACAGAGGCGAGCAGATGGATTTCTTCTCAGACAGGAGCCCATGGGCCACTGGCATTGCTAGCATTTAGCTTGGCAAGGCATCCAGAGGTGAGTTGTTTTGTGTGAGCCAACTGCTAGAGCTGTTTGAAACACATCCCTTGGTAGGTAGGCAGGATGCTCTGGGGCATGTGATGGCTTCGGCATCGCTGTGTCAGAGAGACAGATCTCACACACTGACTTGACATCAAGGTGCTGCAAGAGGTCCAGAATAAATTCAAAGAATTTTWAAGTGTTCTGTGAGCGATGAAGATCTCTGAGAACTGGTGCTCATCTGTTAGCTGACAATCTTATTTATTTATGTATTTATTTATTTCCCACTTAAACTGGGAAAAAACGGAGATCACAGATGCACAGGAGAAGGCTGGGAGCTGACAGACCGGAAATCTTCTCTGTGATATTCGTCTTCCTCCAATTCATTTAGTGACCATGGGGTAAAATATTTTCCCCTCAGTTATCTAGCTCTAAAACACGGATAATCAGGATAAATGTGATGATAAAACATACAATAGAAGTTTAAAATGTTCAAGGTCTTTATTTTTATTTTTTTTTTCACTTTTTTTCCTTGGTTGGGATATCTTAAGATCCCACACATTAAAAAAAGGGGGAAGGGGAGAAGGAAAAATAAAAAGAAAGATGTGATATTAGCAAAAAGGCAAGTAGAACTAGAATGGCTTTCGAGAGCAATCAGATCATGATGGAGACTCAATTTCTCTGAGAAACACTAATTTGTCATAACGGAGGGATGGAAACTGAGGGAAAAAATAAGGCATGGTGGTTGGGACCCAAGGTTTGAGGAAGTAATTTGGTTAAGGGATTCCTTCTCCCATTTCTTGTCAGCTTTCCTCCAAATCTACTGTTCCTCTCTTAAGTCAGCACATTATTGATTTTTGGTGAAAAGCAGCATGTTTCTGTTCATTTCTGTTTGTTTGTTTTTCACTGAAGCCCTGCAGTTATGGTTGGCTTGGAGCAAGAGGGGGCAGTGAAGCTTTATCAAAGCTAAATTTGCCTCCCTAAGTGAACATGTGTGTGGCCCACCAGCATACTCAGCTCTGTAAAGAGCTCTGACTTTCTGGGATGAAAAATATGGAAAAAGCACAAGTCTCTGCTCTTACTGTGAGTAGAGATATGTGGGCACTAAAGGATCCACTAAAAAGGTGCTTCCTTCTTGTCATTAGATATCAGGTAATTTTGGTTTCACGTTGCTAAATCCTTCTTCAGTCAAAGGGAGCCTTTTCTGGGAGCTCACTTGAAAGCACATGAACTCAAAGCCCTAACGGCATCTGTTTCTGCTTGCTGGGAGGAGGGAGCTAAAGGTTTCCCAACTCCTTCCTTTTTTAGTTTCCCAACTTTCTGCTCCCGTCTTGCATTTTGGTTGCTCCAGCCGAAACCTCTGGAGACAAAGGCAAATCCTGAAGTGGGAAAGTCCCGGTCCAGGGCAGGAAGATGCCTTGTGGTAAAAGAATCCGCGAGCACAGACAGACATTGACTGAAACCCTTCCCGCTCTCTCTTCCTCCCCAGCCCCTCCTCAGGCCTTTTCAAAGCTGAGCATTTGTAGCACAGGAAGTGTCTGATCGTGAGCTGCAGCTCCCACTCGGACAGCAGTGATTTCCTTTTAGGCAGTCCGTTATCTGTTGACTGTCAGGACACGCTTTCCCTCTTCCTCCCCCCCCCCCCCCCATCCTCATCCCTGTCCCCCAACTCCTCTCTCCACCTTCACTCAACATCTTATATACACGCACACACGCACTTAACTGCCAAAAAAGTGTCCTCCACCCCCCTTTTCAGCTAACTTCCTTTCAGTTTTTTTTTTTTAGCTGGATAATCCTAGGATTTTTTAAAACGGGGGAAAGGAGAGAGAGAGAGACCGAGTCAGGACAGGAAGCTGGCTTTTCATTCCTCTAACTGTCTGAAGGCAGGAGGAGGGAAAGGGGGGGAGCCAAAGAGGAGCCTTGTGCAGCCTCTTCCCCGGTCACTTTTCATTAGTCCTTTTGAACTTCCAGTCTCCTCTGCAAGCCGAGAGAAGGAAGACCAAACTGGGAAGTTTTCTCCTGGACACAGCAACAGAACTGCTGACAAAACTGAGACGGTGGCTGTGGAGGGTCCTGGGATAGCTCTGAGGGAAAGGCACCCTCCACCATCGCTTGCCCCCAACTTGCCAACTCCGATGCGGGCGCTCGTCCACCACCCACTTCCCTCTGATGAGAACCCTTCCGGGCTTGGGCTATGATCTCTGCTGCTGACGGCTGGGGAACCTCTACTCGCCCTGATYTTCCTCTGCCGCAGGAGCAGCCCAACATCTGGTGGGGATTAATGTTTATTTCTCCGTCCGGACGCTGTACGGGACCCCCGATGTTACTCCCTGGGAGCGGGACACGGGAGGTGGTCTGAGGAGAAAAGCCAGCTTTTTGTCGCCCGGTGTGAGGCGAGGGGGGGAGGGGGGCAAGGCAGGAGGGGGACTAACCTCTTTTGGGACTAAACTCATGAAGAACAAGGGAGCCAAGCAGAAACTCAAGAGGAAGGGAGCCGCGAGCGCTTTCGGCTGTGACCTGACGGAATACCTGGAGAGCTCTGGGCAGGACGGTAAATGCCTCTTTATTCTCACTCTGGTTGTGAAGGAACAGAACGTGTGTCCTCTTCTCTACTGGTAGGACTGAAAATGAAAACTTGCCCAAGGGAGAGGACTAGAGGACCTGGAGCTGTGGAGTCATTGCTCCCGGGAAGTGGAGTCATTGCTTAATTACTCACAATGAATGAACAATCAGAAAATTGCTTTGGTGATGCATGACCCTTGTATGAATAGCATGGAGTGGGKGGAAAGAGCTGGATTAGGGCTCTCAGGTTGTGTGAATGTGGGCAGAGATTTCCAGTCATACGTTGTGATGCTGTCTCCTTTCCCCTTGCCCTGGGGAAGGGAGTAGCAGGTTGTTAGGGATCTAGACCAACAAATTGGAGGGAACTAGACTTAGCATTGCCTCCTTCCAGGCTTGGAAATTCTCCTGAAGTCCATGAAAATAGAGATTGCTCYAGGGCCTTTAGAGAGGAACTGGGAACGTCCCATCTGCCCCTCCTTGATTCCCATACAGTTCCCTTATAGCGGGGTTGAGAATGGGTGCAGGGCTGTGGGTGATGGCCGTGGTGGTGAAGCAGGTAGGGGTAAGAGGTGTAGGGGGCACCTAGCTAATCTTTTCACATCCCTTTCTGCTATCTTTCTCTCCTGTTTTCCTCCTCCTCCCGACCCCTTTTCACCCCTTTTATCTGATATCATACGAAAATATAGTAGCCCAGACAAAAGGTAACTGCAGTTAGATCAGAAGGTTTTGAATTCAAAATGATCAGTCTTGATTGAAGGAAGGGGCAGGACAATCTTGCATAACAGTCAGAAAATGAGAGAAGCAGTTGAAAGTTTGGCATACAGAAAGACTTTCAGTTTAGAAAGGGGAAAAATAAATACATGCCTTTTCCAGTTTCTGGTGGCATTATGTTCCAGCCCGAATTAACTAACACTTAGCAAAGTCAGGCTACTCGGAGCAAAAGAGCTTCTAGCAGCAATGTCAGCTTTGTATGGGGAGGGCCATACAATCAGGTCTTTCATTTGCTGGTGAGCATGGCTGATGAAGAACAGGGTGGAATTGCACTGGCTGAGGGATGGACTATATAATGCAGCAGTCCTTTCCAYTGCATGGTGAAGAGACATGTATCATTAAAACGACATGTAATGTATGCGTTTTTATTTGGTTATTTGGGAAAACGGGTCTTTTGATTTCATTGTGAGTCAATAGTAATTTACGGTATATTTTAACATATAGAGCCCTTAACGGCAATTGAATTGAAATAACAAAAATAATGGACTTAATGGACTGTTAACCCTTTGCCAGTGCAAGATACAGGCAGGTAAATTCAGTTCAGTGCTAAAATAGAGCTAACTTGGTGGAGAACCTTTTACAGCTGCTTACAGGAGCACCYAAAATCAGTGTGGGGAAGCCAGGCACAGACCATGTATTCATCAGTAAGGTGGGTTTTAGAGTGAGGAATGTAATTACTGCAGCTGAAATTAGGCTAGGACAGCAAAATTTATTACAGAAAGTCCCATAGTTTTTGGTCTTGTTTGTTTGTTTGTATTTTGAGAGTYTTTTTGGACATGAGAAAAGAGGACATTGTCTCAAGTTTTGTTTGTGGGATGGTTCACAGTTCCAACCTACTTATCTCTGCTGTTCGGAGGAGCAGTGGGAGAGAAAATGAAGTTCCTTTCCCTTTATAAAAACTGTTATTTGCTGAATAGTGTGTCCTGCTGCCCAGTGGTGTGGGATCCTGAAATGAAAGACCCAATTGTTATACGTTTATGAAGAAGGTTGTAAGCTCGATTGGTACAATTTAAATCCTGGAGCTGAGGAAGAAGCAGTGAGAGAATTGCATATATTTTTTGCTTTGCTGTTAGCATGCTCAGGATCAACAGAAACAAACCTCAGGATCAACATGCTCAGGATCAACAGAAACAAACCCAAGTATGCCAGGGTGACCTTTTGGGAAGAAATGAGAGGTCAGGTGTCAGAGAGGTTTCAGACTTCCAAGCTATCATTAGGGAAAAACATAGGAAAAGATTAGAAGACTGACTAGTGTATACAAGAAAGTCAGTTTGAGAACAGATAATTTTTTTCTACTAAGGATTATTTTCAGTGGCAAACCAGTACTCCTTTAGACAGGGACTTTATTGAGATATATAGAGATAACTTTATCTCTTCTTTAGATAGTACTGTGTGCTAAACCAGAGAGATGCAGGCTGTAGTGCTTCCCTGCTTGGAAGCAAGGATACAAGACTATTTGCCTGGGAATTTGCTGGCTAGGAGTGATGAGGAGAGAGCAGAACCCTTTGGCTGCTATCCACGAAACGTTTGGTTGTAGATCTTTGTGAAAATAGGTTTTGAAAAGCATCTGGAAGGATTAACTGGAAGAGAAGATGAGGCTGTAGGACAGGCGGGACACAAATCAGATTTGTTCTGCTTTCATGCTCAGGTAGGGTTTAGGCCATCTTGCAGTGCTGCTTTGTGTGACTGGTCCTKCATGCTTGTGTGGGCAAAGAGAAACTGAGACCCACTCTGCTTGGTGCTGGGGGAGACATGGCAAAAGGAGCACCAGGGATGGTGAGGGGTGGTGTAGATAGTTCCATCTGTTTTCTTTCCCCTTCGGATTAGTGCACAGCCATTACAGTTAGGGGGTGCTGTGCTACTTTTGTGATGCTTTGCAGAAGCAATGGACCACTTCAGTCCCTACATGCTTGTGGTTGTTGAAGAGCAGCTTGTGCTTTCTGCAAGGACCTTAGTCCCTGTGTCCTTGCCAAATTCCAGCGGAGAGAATTATGCTCTGCTTAAGGTATCAGCATTTCCTTTCCTGTCATTTAACTGTTTAATAACAACTTGCAATGGATTTTAATAACTTCAGAGACAGATGCATTTCTGTGCATGGGGAATGAATCCTGCCATCTCCCTTACAAGATGTACTTCAACCTCAGTTACAAAGAGCTTGGTGATTATACAAGTACAGAAGTACAAAATATTTAAGAGAGGTGAGAATGGCAGGTACAGAGGGCTAGTTTAAGAGATTAAAAATGAGATATAAAACCTTTAGCCCTAAGTTGACTTGTCAGATCTAATATAGGTCAATGGTGATGGACAGATTTTGCTGTTTGGTAGTTGGCTTGAAGCTTGAACTTAATATATTTTACATTGAACTTGATATATTTTAAGTCAGTTCCTGTCACTACTGCATTTGACCCTACTTGGCCTTCTTCTGTTGGCAGCCTTAACATAGAGATTTGTTATGCCCTTTATGGGGGCTGACTGCTATCCATGCTCCCAAGCATTTAAAATCATGTGCCAGGCCACAAAAATCATGAGATGAAATAAAGACCAGTGCTGACTTCTTTTTCTGCTCTTTTCTGAAACTTTAATGTACATCTGAGYCATGTTTTCAAGCCTTTACTGCCAAGAGGACCAGAAACTTGGTGGAAAGTCAGGAGTGCTTCCTCCACACTGAAATTCTGAAGCAACTTCTTTAATACCAGTGGATTTGAGGAAAAGCTCACATAAGGCATGATAAAAGAATGGTGGTTGGCAATACTGTTGAGTAAAAGATTGCTGATTTCACAAAGTCCCTCTTCTATCTGTGCTAATACTGAATTTATACACAGAGACAAGTGATCTTTTGGAAAGTGAGCGCTTCACTAGAGAGCAGGATTTGAGCGTGGATAGACACCCTCAGCAAAATGCTAGAGGGCAGGAAGAAGTTAGCACTAATACTCCCTGAAACACTCTGTATCAAACATTATTAAGTGCTGTATTGATGCAATGGGGCTAACAGACAGATACTAGCTCTGAAGGGTTAAAGTTAGAGGCATATTTTGGTCTCACAGTAACCAGTCAGGCTTTCAGAGGAGAAAAGCACACAGCGCTTCTACTGCAGTCAGTGGGAGCTGCCTGTCAGGCCCCTTGTTCCTGTAATAACAACGGTATAATTTTGTAGTGATGGATGGGCTGGCAAAGAAGACAAGGCTCAAGGCTGTGCGTGAACCTTAATTGGGTCAGGACAGTCTGGACTACTTAAGAAAAAAGTCACGATGAGTAGTCTAGCAGAAGCGTTGCAGGACTGGGCTGAAAAAGAAAAAGCTGTTAAACTGGGACGGATTAAGCCAAAATGGGTATTATCCCAGTTTTTCTAACTGTGGGAGATCAACACCGGGATATTAGATACACAGTAGGTACCACTTTCATTTTTTTAACAGAAACTGCCACAGCAGCTATAAAAGTTCAATTACACTAATGAAAGATAGTCCAGGGTTTGGTGCAAGAACTACTACCAACCCAAACCCACCTTTGCTTCCAAGGAAGACTGAATTGTTTTCTCCATTTTTAAAATGATAGTGTCTAGACACCAGGACAGCAAAAAGCCAAATCTCAGGTTAGATGCCTTGCTCTTAGACTGCAAGTCAGCTGCGTGTCCCAGCTTCTCCCACTTGCTGCAGGGTTTGGCCTGCTRCTGCTGTACCCCTCTGTAGTTTGTTGCACATCTGTTTCCTGCCCAGTGTTGTCTGGTTGGGATGCAATGAGCTCAGCTTTTCCCCTTGACCCTCTCCCACATGCTGCTCAGTTCCCATGGCTCTCATACTCAGCAGGTAGCACCCAGAGCCCCTTGTGTTGGGTTACAGGCCTAGGTTGTTACTCGCTGTAGCAATCGGGCTGTTTCATTAAAGGTCTTTGAAAGGGCTCCCTGATTGAGGTTCCTTGACATGGAAAGGTGGAATGGTGGAAAGCTCTGACCCTGCTGTGAAGAGGGGTTGGCCGGTACCACTCTCTGGAGGCTGGGGAGGAAATGGGAGCTGTGTTCTTCAGGGCAGGGAGTTGGGTGAGCAACGTTATAAGCCCTGAATATGAAGAAGGAGTCAATTCCGCCAGTGGGAACCCCCTCAGCTGGGCCAGGGCCAAGGAACAGGGCTTTGGGGATGGCTGAGCAGGGGATGGATGACAGGTTGACATACAGCCATGTGGGGATGTAAGTACATGGATCTGGTGGTTCTGCTTTTGAGACTT